CCCAACCTAACCATTCTGTCGAGAAAGTAGTAAATAATCATGAAAAGACTGTTAAAGTGCGAACAAAATAATTCAATTCCTTGACGCAAAAACTATTTACATTCGATCTAGCTAGTGGAGCCGGCGCCGAATTTTTCTGCAACGTTGACGGAAACCAGTGGCAGAAACCGCATCGGTGTCGACGCCGATCTCGAGTTCTCCGGTTTCTTGGTTGACGACGCTAGTGATTTTCGCTGCCTCGAAACGGACAGAGAGCGTGAATTCTTCCGTTGTCTTACAACCGGCGGAGGAGACGGCGAGGCCACCTGTTGCTTTAAAATCGGTGGAGACGGTGAATCTATCTGCATCAAAACCGGCGAAGAGATCTGCCTGCTATCGACTAGCAGGGACGGCGACCGTTGTATCGAAGCAGGCGGAGACGGTGGACAACAGTCCGTTGACATTCCTTTCTCCCGATAAATCGCCTTGATTATGTCCCATGTATCCAGCGGGGGCAAATGCGGGCCTGCCTCGGTGTTGGCATGGTGTGTTTCCATTGGTGCTATCGGCATTGAACCCATCGGACCCCCATTCAGCAGCGGGGTGGTTCTCGTGTTGAGAAGATACTTAGTAGTATGTTGTTGCGAGTGTGTGCGCATGTTAGGAAGAAGTGGAGGGAGGATGGGAAAAGGGTTTCTTTTATGCAAAGCGCGCCAAGCATGCGCTGAGGGCTGTGGGCTGAGTAGCCAAGCGCACAATATGGGCCGAATATAACTACCCGAGGGCTGAGGAGACAAGCATGGGCTGAGGAGACAAGCATGGGCTGAGGTATGACGCCGTTTGTTTATTGGCCCAGGGATAGACACCGCCAAAAACTTTTGGTATGCACTCATACACCTTCTCTCACTCGCATTCTCTATCCATGTTTCTTCAAGTTGTCGATGTAACAACAGTTTCGCACACATCTAGCACAACGTACTCGGTCTTGAACTCTCAGTTTATCCTTTCAGTACACGAATCAATGATCGTGACAGACACGGGCGGCGGGGATGCCGTGGAGTGAGCGCGCCGGTGGAGCGCGACAGGATGGCTGCTGATGTTCGAGAGCCGCAGAGGAGGCGGCGGGTGGGCGGAAAACGCATTGCGGCGTGTAAAAAGGTGGCGGAAGGGATGTAAGGGACGGCCATGGGGGAATCAGTGCCGGATGGCCGAGAGCTATGACATCAATTCGCAGGAGCGCTGAGCAGAAGAACAGATCACAAAGCAAGTGACAGACTCGAAAAGACCATGCAAGGTAACAAAAAACACGCAATTTTATTTCCACCCCCGAAAACTCTGTACAATTTCGGTATCCGTCTCCCAGCCGAGTGAGAAAAACCTCTGTAGTAGCTATTTTATCAGGCATACCAACGTGCCAATGAATACAATCATGATCTGACCACCAACCATTATGCAGTTGATTCCCATGAAGAAGTAGGCGGACCAGAATCCCCCAACGAACCGCACAAAGCCATGTCATGCCATGAAACCCCCACCAGCAGGCACCAGGCAACACAGCACGCTGTAGCCCAGATGAGAGCGGAGCGCCGTAAACTTCTTCGTGCCAATCTGACACCCACGTGACGTCCGAGCAGCCGAGCAGCAGCAGGATCAAACATGAAGGGCATGTGGGGTCCACGTGCCAGCAGCACGAGGACGGGGCTTCACCCTGATTGGATATCAAGTGGTGTGAGCTTACTACGCCCACCACGGACAGAGGCGCAAATCTAGAGCGCTTAGAGGTCGTGGTCGAAGGTGTGTTTCCGGCGTGATTCTGCCCAGTGGCATTTTAATTTTGTTTGCATGTTGTAGAGAAGAGGAAGGGGGAGAAAGGTTTATACAGTCCAGATGGCATGTGCGCATGTGCGTGTTGAGGGAGCGACGATGTCGTCGCGTAAAAGCACGTCGCGGCGAGCCCTGGACGAGGGTTTAGGGCGGGGCATACGGCGGGAGTCTCGGCGTTGGAGTGAGGCGTTGTAGAAGTGGGCGGGGTGCTGCAGAGGATTCATTCATTGAAGATAGCACATCTGCACCGACAATCATTCGGTTTTGGATATGTCGGCTCAGGCCTCTTGGCTTCTCGTCGTCCTTTTCTGCTTTTGTCTTTCTCTTCCTGTACAATTAACCTTACCACGAACACGATCATACGTTCATCACCAACAATTCATGGTTATTGGATGCCAGATGCCATCGAGACGGTCGACTACACGCTTTGCCGGACACACAATATGCACTGAGTTTTGTCTGACCAGTACGCTTTAGTCATTCCAGTCTGACCCCTTCTCCTACACACACCACACACACCACACACTCTCTGTATCCATAGCCCGTCACGGAGCCTGGTAAAAGATTGGTATAGAGTTTGATCGGATGTTGGTTCGTCCATGCTGGAAAAAGACGAACATACTAACAGCCCCCCATAGTGACGCATGGACACGACAGTCTTTGCATGAAATGAATACGTCCGGGATTGTTTCGAAACTCTATCAATACGGAAAGCTACACCTCGTTGCGATTGTTGGCGAATTCTCTTCTGCATTATAATGTCTACTGCTGCTGCGGGGGTTGTTTGGATAAGAGTCTGCTCGGATATGTTGGAATTATCAATTCTGCACCCTATCATTCGGTTTTGGTCATGTGGACCTCATGTGGACTCTGGTCTCCTACGGTCTTATAGCCCTTATTCTACTTTTCTCTTTCCCTTCCTTTACAACTAACTCACGATGAACATGATCATATGGTCATCCCAAACACACAGAGCTTCATGTCGATGAACCCTCCCAGATCACACTTTTCAAAAATCGGTTGGATTTGTTGCGCTCTAGCTCCTTGAGCATTGAAGTTGGATATTCGGCCATGCAACTCCGAGGGTTGGTTGCAAGACCCACGGCTCTGAACATGCCGGTTTCCCGACCCCCCAAAGCTTAATCTGTTCGCTAAAATGGCCCAAGCACGACCCCTCAATTTCTCCAAGACTACATCGCCTTCCCCACGCTGTCATTAGCCGACCGGCCGCCCGCCCCCATGCATGAACGACGCCCAAAGAGCATAAGCCCTTGCCGATATCCGGGGCTTATCCGCCCATCTATGCATGTTTATGCATAGGCAACGACACCTTGCGGACATCGCCGGCCGGCCGCATAATACCGGCCCCACCTCATCGCTATGGCTTATATATCACCTCAGCAGCCCCCAGCTTGAGCACCGCAACATTGCCAATGGGTGCACTGTCGACCCTGCTGGAGACGGCGCTCGCCCACCCCCTCGCCTCGCTGCTGCTCACACTCTTGCTGTATGCGCTTTACACACGTTACGGCCGCGCCGACCTGCGCACCCTCCCGGGCCCGTTTCTAGCATCCATCACCGACCTGCACCGCGTATACACCGTCTCACGGCATGACGTGCACACGAGGCACATCGCGATGCACAAACGGCACGGGCCCCTGCTCCGTCTCGGCCCCAACCTCGTCTCCGTCGCCGACCCCGCCGCAATCGGAACAATCTTTGGCATCTCGCGGCCCTTCCTCAAGTCCGAGTTCTACCCCGTGCAGCAGCTGATCGGCCCCGACGGCCGCGCGATCGAGAGCATGTTCAACACGACCTCGCCGGCCGTGCACGCCTCGCTGCGCCGCCCGGTGGCGCACATGTACAGCGCCAGCGCGCTGCTGGACTATGAGCCATTGGTAGACCGCACGCTGCGCACGTTCCGGGCGTGCGTTGAGGCGCGCGGGCTGGTGGGCACCGGCGTGGCGTGGGACCTCGGCGAGTGGCTGCAGTGGTTCGCGTTCGACGTGGTCGGCGAGATGACGTTTGGCCGCCGCCTGGGCTTTCTGGAGGGCGCGCAGGATATCGAGGGCGTGTGTGCCAGCATCGAGTCGTTCCTGCACTACTCCGTCGTCGTCGGCAAGTCCCCCCGCCCCCACATCCGCACCGTACTGACGCCCGCCCGCCAGGCCAGATGCCGTTCCTCGACCGCATCCTGCGCAAAAACCCGCTCGCACGGCGGTGGTGGAACAGCCGCCAGAGCAGCACCTACATCTCGCGGTTCGCACTGAAACGCCTCTCCGAACTCGAATCAGCGAAACCCGTTGCCGCCGCCGACGCCAGCGCCGAACCCGACACGTTCATCTCCAAGTTCCTGTCCGCCCACCGCGCAAACCCCGCCGCCGTGCCGCGCTCGCACGTCGTCGCGTGGACCGTGTCCAACGTGTTCGCGGGCTCCGACACAACAGCAATCACGCTGCGCGCGGTGTTCTACTTCCTGCTGCGCCACCCCGCCGCGCTCGCCACGCTGTGCGCCGAGCTCGACACGCGCCTGCCCCGCCCTGCCGACGACGACGAGGTCGTGAGCTGGACGCAGAGCCAGCGCCTGCCGTATCTCGACGCGGTCATCCGCGAATCCATGCGGCTGCATCCAGTGACCGGCACGCTGCTCGAGCGCGTCGTGCCGCACGGCGGATGCACCGTCGCCGGGCACCACCTCGCCGCGGGGACAATCGTGGGCATGACCCCGTGGGTTCTCCACCGCGACCGGGAAATCTACGGCGCAGACGTGGACGCGTTCCGCCCGGAGCGCTGGCTGGACTGCACCCCCGACCAGCGGCGCGCGATGGAACGCAGCTTCCTCGGCTTCGGCGCGGGCAGCCGCACGTGCGTGGGGAAGAATATCAGCCGCCTGGAGATGTACAAGGCCGTGCCGGAGCTGTTGAGGCGGTATGAGATTGAGCTGGAGCGGCCGGAGAGGGAGTGGCGGCTGCTGAATGTGTGGTTTGTTAAACAGACGGGCGTGGTGGTGAGGATGAGGAGGCGGGGGAGGGTGTTGGGGTTTGAACCCGCGGCGGTGGGGGCGGGGGCTTGAAGGGCGGTGGGCGGTGGGCGGTGGGCGGGCGGGGCATGGTAGGTTGGTGATGGGAGGGAGGTGAGCGGGAGGTGAGGGATGGAAGTGGGCACACGGTGGTAACGGAGCGGGACACAGCATCGCCGCCCAACTGGCGCAATGGTAGCGCATCAGACTTCTAATCTGGGGGTTGCAGGTTCGAGCCCTGCGTTGGGTGCTTGTTTTTGATGAATTTTTGCTGGGCTGCCATACTATATGTGCCGCTTGTTGTTTTTGTTGGTGTTGGTGTTGCTGGGTTGGGTAACGTGGGTTAGGGAGAGTGTAGTGAGAGGAGAGTTGGTGAAGTGTAAGGCGCGGGCCATGTACGAGTAATTCAGAACATCCCGTGTAGAAACCGTATGCTCCGCATCAAACGTGGTCCGTCTTGCTGGACCGGACCCACCGTCTACATCCTACACCGCACTACTGCTGCACGAGATACTGCAAGCTCACTCCCACGCGTGACGATCCTACGCAGTATGTGCCCACGCAACGCACCAAAACCACCGTATCCATCGATCTCACGGTTCACCACCTCCAACGGTCTTAACCCAGTGCCTGCGGCCTGATTCCAACTCTACGTAAACCCATGACCACAGTCCAAAACAGGTTTAAGCATGTGTTCTAAACCAAGCATACACGATTCCCGCAGGCATTCATTCCGTCACGCACGCCCGCTCCGATCTAAAACAGTCCAAAATCGACTTTCACCATGCACTCAACAATATTGGAAAACATCCATCATGAAAACGCGAGATCTTGTTTGCGCAACACAACCAACCATTGGTCTTAGTTACCATTCCTGATGTCCCCGCATCCGGACGCGCCAACAACGATGGCCTGTATATCCCATGCACCATGCACCATGATCGCGATTTCTGCATGATTCGCAACCCAGCAATGTAGTTTCCGCGAGCGTTGTAACCGGATGCCAGCCTGTAAATCGACAGAATATAGCTGAGACCTGCCGTGCGCCGTTGATTGATACACCATGTGGAGTAGTTGGTGAGCTGGTCAACACAGAGCGATGCCGCCCCTCCGCCACATGTTCCAACGCCGCAATAAGTCTTTAGCGCGCGCCCGTCGCGTCCTCCGCGGACCGCGGCTCTCAAACACCCGCTTCCATCCGGTCGCGCTCCACCGGCGCGCCCCCGCCGGATCATTGATTCATTGATCCTTGTACCGAAAGAAAAACCCAAGTATCTATCTTGCAAATTTGAGAACCACCCCGTCGGGGTTGAGACTACGGTCGCCCTCTCCGGAGGTTGGGGGCAGGCTGATTGCGTCACCGTCGCCGCCGGCTTCGAGACAACGGACGAATCCACGCTCTCTGCCAGTTTCCAAGCCGCAAGCGTGAACAAATATCCTCTGACGAAGAAAACGAACACCGCCCGAGCCACGGCCGGTCTACAGTGCATGATACCACCGGGTCAGAAGTTTGCTGTTGCGATACAAGTGGCAAAATTATGGTGGATAAGTTGGACGTCCCTGGCTATATCGAATGTAGATAGTTTTTGCGAGAATGAATTTTTGTTTTTCGCACTTCAACAGGCTTTTCATAATTATATTATTTACTGCTTTGTCAACGGAATGTTTAGGCTAGGCTGAGTGTACTAAGGGCCAAAAAGAAGAGCAGAAAAGGGCGATGAGACGCCAGGAAGCCTGGGAGGTCTGTGGCATTGTGGAGGATGGAGGGTGGAGTGTTGGAGGCGACTGATCAGCGTTGGAGAGGCCAGGACGAACGCTATTGCGGCGGAGAGGAGGGGGCGAGAGCGCGATGTTGTTGATAAAGGCCTGCGGAAATCCTTTCTGTATGGGTCGGAACACATGCACAACTAAAATAACCGGCCGTGGCCTAGGAACTGACTGGTTTCTGGGTTGAAAAACAGTAGGCACTACTCGGGCATCTCGGTGGTCTGCACCTACACCGGCCATCATTCGGCCGGCTTTTATCATGATCCTTGTGCATTTCCATACCCCCGTCGTATCAGGACTTTATATTGTTGCCCCGCTTGCTCTTCCTCTCAGACTTAACAACCGCTTCGCATTCCTTTCCCACTCGCCGCCATCGACACCAATGCTCTGCCATAATACCATCTCCACTCTCTCTACTACTTGTTACATCAGCTTGACAAAACTCCAGTCAAGCATTGCACTCTGGCACACGTTACGAGCGATAAGTACATGAGCCTTGTCCTGCCCAGTTGGAACTGCCTGTCTCTGTGACCAGGCTTGCACCGACTGGAATTCTGGCAGGAGATTGCTTCTGCAGTCACCAGTGCTCTCCATTATGGAGGCTCTCGGCACCTTGTGTGGGCGTGTACAGTATGCCTCTCATCTTGTGCAGTCCTCATCATCTCGTAAACAGACACTAACTATTAATTGCACTCCTCAGGTGCACGTCTTGACTACGTACCCCACGCTCGACAGGGTCGGTAGGAACTCAGCGGCCACACAGTCTTTCCTCATCGATAAATTTCTACACATATTCCCTGAACCGCCAGTCACCCATCACCTGCACTTAGGGTTAGACCGCCCTTCTGGTGATGATATCAGCTGTACGGACCCCGGTGTTCCAGCATACGCACGGCGCAGTGGCACAAATGAGCGCGCACGTGCGCAAAGACTTGATCCATCTACACCGCCTCCGCCTGTTCCTTCTCCAACCCCGCCTCCCGCGGCCCCCTCTGGAACCGATGCATACCCACTCCGGTAACCGTAAACACCGCCACCACGCCCAGCTCCATGACGGACCCCATAAACAGCGCCCACCCCAGCTCTCCGTGCGTATCATTTCCCCCAGCGAGTCTAGCCCGGGCTGCCGCCAGCAAGCTGCAGACCACCCGCACCAAGAGAAACGGCAGCGCGAGCGCCACCGCCCTGACGAGTGCGTTTGCGGGCTGCGTGTAGAGAATGACGACGGTGCCCGCTGCCAGGACAGTCCAGGCGAGCATCAAGAGGGCGGCGGAGGCAAGGAGGAGAGAACCGGCGGCTGTGGTGGTGCCGGCCACGACGCCGAGGATCAGCGCGGCGAGGAGGGGGAGCTGGAGAAGACGGCGTAGGTACTGGAGAAGTGGATGAGGATTGGGGAGGTCTGTGGCACTGTGGAGGGGGTGTTGTTAGGGGCGGACGAGCATGGAGAGGCCATCACGAACACTGTAGTTGCGAACGCCGATGCGGCGGCGAGGAGCGGGGAGAGCGCGATGTTGTTGACAATCCTGGAGGCGCTGCGGAGGCTGCTGGAGGCGTCGTGTGCGTGCTGGATATGGAGGGTGAGGACGCTGCCGACGATCTTGACTGCGCTTTCTTACTTAGCCTGGTGTCGGCCGCGGACGTCCGCGGAATTCTTGCACAACAGAATAGCATCTGCGACTCCTAGCAAGGGGAAGGAAGACATACACGCACAAAACACGGCGATACGAACCCATCCATTATCGCGGCGGCAGCCGCGCGGCACGAACGCCATGTTGCAGACACCCAGCGCCAGAAACACCGCGGAACACGCAATTTCGGCGGCGTCGAGTGCGCCGCCGGCTGCAAACATTGCTGGTGTTTTGGGGGTAGTTTGGTAACTTGTTGCCGGTTGCATGGAGCTAGGTGTCTGAAGGAAACGGGTTTTGTGGTATGCCCAGCGCCCCTGGGGGGCAGTGGGCTGGTTTTGAGTGTGCCGCTGGAATGGGCTGGAGTTGCAGACGCCTAGTTGACCTGCGGGAGGGACAAGAATCAATCCTTAACAAACCGGTTGGGCCGTGTCATTTATTGCTCCACATATCCAGCTCTGTGGCCATGCCAATTGCACACCCGCAACCAACGCTGTTTATTACAAGTTAAATCCAGTGTATGTAAAGAAAACTCTGATCGTGTTGAATACTCACTGCAACCGCAAACAAGTTTGGCTGAGTGACATCTTGTGTCCTGTCCAGATTGTTTGCGTTGTGTCGGCAGAAAGGCGGAAAACCTTCCAACAGCATGGAACCCGCCGTCTTTTTTCATCGTGGTGTTTCTGCATGGCGGTAGGGCAGCTATCCATCCCCACTTCTCATGCGCTGTGCAAAGCCAGACAGCCGATCCACCGCGAATCCACGCTGTTATGTAACCACCGACTTCTACAGTCCAGCAAGACCCATGAGTACGCGCCCACAACGTTGCGCCGATGCTCTCTCCAACACCGTCACTGGAACCGACACACGACACGCGACACGCGCGAAATGAACCCGGCAGGTATAGTAGAGGCCTCCTGCGTTAGGCGTTGCATAATGACGCTGGCAGAACTGGTAGACGGCGTGTGGTGGGTTGTAGATCGAGTGGTAGTGATGATGAGTGATAAGAGAAGAAGCAGGAGGTTGGCGGGGTTGTGATATGGGACGAGGTGCGAGTGATGGCTGACACCGATATCGGTGGAGGTAACGTCGTGGTGTTTCTATCACTTGCGGGCGGTATGGACAGTTCTCAAATCCGAAGAGAATAGATATACATATATGTTCCGACCGATACACCAAGGATTTCCGTAGGCCTACAGGTCGACCGGTTGGCCAACCGGTCGACCCGTTAGCCAAATATCTCGCTTGGTGAACCGGTCAACCGATTGGCCAATTGACCGGTTGGCCAAGGACCATACGATAGTCAATGCAGATTGTAGGTGAAGAGAAAGTCTGCGAACGAAAAGAAGCTGTTATAGAAGAAGCAGCTTTTCTAGAAAAACTGCAAAAATACTCTGTATATGTGTCGGCCTTAAATTAATAGTAGTTGTACTCAGACGGTGAAATAGTTTCATACTTCAGATGGTCCCAATAAACCACTAGCACCCTGCTTTCTACTTCGAGATATCATGTCAATGAGTGTGATAATATATTGCCACGACTAGAGTTCCTTGGGCGGCAGCATAGTAATAGATATAGTAGTGGAACACACCGGGCCCAACAATACTATAGTAGTACTGCGCAGCCATTCATGATTTGGAAACCCTGGGATTAGAAGAAAGCGAATCAACACAGTGATAGGTGAAGAAATAGAGATAGAGACGGATGGCAGTGGCAAAAATCTGCGCAGTACAAGATCATGGTTATTCTCTGTTGCGAAGAGCAGTTGGCCTACGGGTCGACCCATAGGCCAACAGGTCGACCGATACGGCAAATCGAACTGTAGGCCAACGGGTCGACCTGAAGGCCTACGGAAATC